GAAAGAAAGAAAGAAAGAAAAGAACTGTAGCCCTTATCACAGCCTTAGAAGGGTTTGTACTCTTAGACCAGTAATTTCACTCCTAAGATCTTATCATAAATACTCAGGAATGTGGAGAAACATTCATGCATAAAAGATATTCAACAGTAGGAGAACGGATCAACATAATCACATACATAACAACATGCTGTCACTTAAAATAATTATAGTATAACAACACGGAGAGGTGTTTTACGATGTGTTTAAGTGAAAAAAAAACCATATATACAATACGTTCAAGATTATAAATAAAGAAGTAATATAAGGAAAAACTACCTGGAAAGGCACAAAAATGTTCACTGTGATTATCTTTCTACTATTCTCTACGTCCCACATTTATAATCAGAAAAAGAACTGTTACAAATGAAGCTGAATGTCTGCCTAGGTTGTCACATTCGACAGAGAAAAAGCTTAGGCAACATATAAAACAAAACTAAGGGGAAAAGAAGTGTTTGAGAAGCTCTGAGAAAACAGTCTGTGGTTAAAAGAAAGGCAGAGGTCATTTCCCCTAGGAAGTGCAGCCTGGATTACAAGTAGGTCTAGAAGTTCATTTGTATGAGACAGGGTCAAATTCTAAGATGAAAACTACTCTCTGTAGTGATTTTGCTATCAAGGTCTGCAGCTCTGTGACCAGAACCATGCAGAGAGGCACTATGAAAACAAACTGAGGTATTAAAAAAATACTAAGAACTCTCTTAACTAACATTTTTTTTTAAGTAAGCTCTACTCCAAACGTGCGGATTGGCAGCCCAAGGCCATTAAATTTAATGAAGTGAACTTTTTTTTAAGTTTTTATTTAAATTCCAGTAAGTTAACGTACAGTGTAGTTTTTTAAATAAAAAAAATAAATTAAGGGCGCCTGGGTGGCTCAGTTGGTTGAGCAACTGCCTTCGGCTCAGGTCATGATCCTGGAGTCCCGGGATCGAGTCCCGCATCCGGCTCCCTGCTCGGCAGGGAGTCTGCTTCTCCCTCTG